AGGGATTAGCATTTCAAGATGGTTTTCAGACCTGCCCCGGTAGTTGCTAAATTTCACACACATTCGCGTGTCAATAAGGAAGCCACCTTGGCTGTTGTAGGTTACATCCTAGTTTCCTTGCCTGCGTCATTCATACAGATGTATTCACACAGGTCACATACCACACATCACTTGCTGAAAAAACAGCCAGCCAAGCTGGCAGCTGAACCACAGGGAGCCATTTTCCTGAATAATCATACAACCTCTAAAACCCGATGTTAATACATTGAGGACATTACGTTCCTTTGCAGGTCAGATGATGCAGTGCGCTTATCAAGTCCTCCAGAGGCATTACAGACCTATACAATAAGTCAACTCTTCCACTTTCTCAGGAAGGATTGTGTAAACAGAAAAGCCCACTATACCAAGGTCAGTAACTCAGGTTGCATCACAAATGGGGCAGATTTTACAGACAGTTCTCTCTCTCCTTTTGTCCACAAAGAAAACACTCTGTTATCCCCACATGTACAAGTATTGACCCTATCTTATCAGACGACATTGACAATTGTATCTCACAGGATTCTCCACAGGCCTCTACTTCTCCACAGCAGCTAAAATGTAGATTAAGAGATCCCACAGTTTACATCAGAGCAAACTGCATTTGTTAAGGGAAGTCCCTGATCTGGTGAAGTCTTAATTAAACATCAATGTCTCGCAGCTTGAGGGAGAAAAAAACCATGAAACTTCAAAATTTACATTGACAGCTCCTGAGAGAAGCAGGTTGAAAGACTGAAAATAAAACATTTTAGACTAAGCAGATCTGATTCATTCCTGCCCACATACTCCATGATGGAGTGGGAGGAAGTGTTCCTCCAGCTGTTTTCCACGTGGTTCCTCTGAGAATCTCAACAGGATTTCTGGTGCATGTTCTGAGTTAGTCCCTGGCCACATTTCCTCTCCAGCCAGTGACACTAACTTTTTGTGAATTGTTAACCGTTTATGGAACAATTGTCAAAGGAGTGGTTAGTGACTCACTGCAATCCTACACTAGTTGACTTACACGGCAAGAGGTTGAGAACCTCAGTCAAATCTGAAAAATAAACAACTGAAAGTCTCTTCCCTCCTTATTCACCTTTGTGAGCTGTGGAAGGCCTGCACTTTCCTGCAAAAACCCAGGACACAGCCAGCCTCCTCACAGGTGTAGCGAATGCTGCTCCTACAGTACTTATAAGATCTATGGCAAATTTTTCAGAATAAAATCAGACAATCTGAATCTGTGGCTCAGTAGGTAAAGGACATTTGGCTTCAGGCTACTTATAATCTCACTTTTGTACAAATAGTTTTGCATGTGCTTTGAATACTCATTTAGATTATTCTACTTCCAGTAATCACTTTGCTGGTTTAAGACCACACACAGTCACCAAAACTCCAGTTCTTTTTTTTTAAAAATAAAGCCAAGAGCTTAAAGCAGCAATTGTCAGTGATTCTAGAAGTAACAAAATATTGCATGTTAAAACATAAAGAATGTTAAATTTAATAAATGACGATTACAGAAAACAACAAAACTCAGGTCTGCTAATAGGAATTGCATCTATTGGGTTTGCATTACTGAGTAGCTTTGGTGGACTTGGACTTCTCAAGTCCAAGTATTGTGATGGCCAACAATGCATTTAGTGATCCACCCAACTAATAGTAGCAGAGAATCTGAACTAGTATCTCAAGGAACTTGGACTAGGATCCACCAGTTTGGCAGTGAACATTTCCATAGGCTCTATGCCATCTACTGCCCCTCCCAGAATTCTTATTCTGGTTTACTTTGGAGAAGAGCTAATGTCTCTCATTGGTAAGATGAGCTGACGTGAACTGTTGCGGCTTCAAAGCAGAAGGCTTTGTATCAGTCTAACAAAGCAATACAAATTGCACAACATGGATAACTTGCTTGACAGATCCTGGGAAATGCAGTTTTTGCTTTACCTTTGTTGATTTATGAGCTCACACATCTCTCCAGAAAAAGGATGAGTAAAAGTCCAGCAAGCAGTCTACTTCAGAACCCTTTCTATGCCTACAGATACATAGAATAAGCTACCAGATGACTTCTAAGAAAGAGAAATACCAGGCAACCACATTCACGATTGAATAAATCTCTTTATTTTTATTCTCTGCCTATTTCTGAGCTAGCAGAGTAAGTCTTTTTTGGAATCTACATTTTAAGCAAAAGCCTGTGAACGTAACTTTAACCAGACGTCTCTGAATTTTGAGATATATTTATTTCAATTTTTAAGAAATATCCTCCTGAGCGTTTTGGGAAAGGAACTAATTGACGTACTAAACCTGAGGCAAGCCAGAAATGTCTGAAGCCAGCTACAAGCCTATCGTGATGATAAACAGCTCAGGGTCCAGATGTCCATATATGGAAAGACTTCCTATAAGACTGACAGTACTGTATGTTCATTGCGTATGGTTGTTGGATCAGATTCACATTCCTCGGGTATGTTTCTCTGGGAGCTTTCGATTTCCGCTTTGAGGGCTGGCTCAGACCTCCAATTGCTCTTATAAAAAAATATCTGTGACTGAAAGTTGAAAATGTGCAAGATTCTTTCTTTAAGTACACAAACACTCCAAGTCTAGCCACTTTCCTGTAGTCTTGCCAGGTTTTCACTATGTCTGATACCTGATCAAGTGACTTTTTGGGGGGAAGCAGAGAAAAAAAAAAAAGAAGGAAAAACACGAGAGAGGAATGTAGCAATCCACACCTGTACATTTTACAAGACTTCATCAATTGAAGCTGATGTAGACACACACATACTGTATATAGCTGTGTAAACAAGTCTGCAAGACCAGTGTAGTGAATTCCTAGTTTCAGTAGAGAAAATATACTATCTTAAAAGCATGTGCTGTATAAACACCTGCATGGAAGTCAAAATTAGTGCATTTTAACCATTTTATTCATCAATGCCAATATGTACTTCTCCAACCAGTGGCATATTCAAGAGGCACCTGGATGTGGCATTCGGGGATATGGTTTAGGCGTGATTATGATGGTGTCAGGTTGCTGGTTGGACTAAATGAACCTGAAGGTCTCTTCCAGCCTTGATGATTCTGTGATATTATCATCAGAAAGAATACACTGAAGACTGGTTGGACTCTGAAAGAACTGCCTTTGCTTCCATGTTCCCTTCGCCCCCCACGTGTACACATATATGCACAAACAAGATACCCATTGTGACACACCTAACAGCACAGAAACCAAAACGAAGAAAAGGCACTCCTAAGGACTCCGATTCTTACCCACCCTTGTGGGCTGGTAGAACTTGTGATTTAGTGGGCTAATGCCCAATTCACCATGGTGCAAGACCAGAATTAGTTCTGAAGTCCAAATACCTATTTAAGTAGTTTTTCTCAGGGCAGCAAGTGTATGGGGCTTGCTGTACTTGGCATACAGTGGGAAGACTTAGGACAGATTTATCCTGTAATTTTGGATTTCCTGGCTTTCTGGTGGTTTGTTACTTTTAAACATACTTTTTCTGTCAGTGAGATTCTTAGGTTTTGTTTAATAAAATTGTATCTCAGAAAAAACCTCTCACATGGAAAGTTATAAAACATGTCTCGAGCTTCTCTCTCTCTCTCAGATGTTCTCCTTACCATATTTAGGCATTTAAAAAAGGCATTCTGTTTACCTGGTTACATTTGCATTTTGGTATGCATGTCATACATAGTTTGGTACACATAGTATTTACCCAGCACTGAGGCCACTGGAGTCCTTCAAGTAAATACAGATTCTGGGAGGCTTCATGAGTTTGGGAACATGTATTATTTACCATAACTATTCCTCTGAGATTTATTTTTTTTCTTTCAGAGCCAATCTCATTTCTTTTAACAAAGAATTTTGAGTAGAAGAAATTATATCCAAATTACTTTACCAGACAGAGTACAATGCTGGCAGAATATAAATAACACTTTTATGGTACAATAGTCCTACTGGGGCATTACATGAACAACTTTTTTCCCCTCATGAATCCTGTGCATACATATTGCTACATCATAGCGTGGAAGTATGCCTACATATGCAGTGATGGAAAGAAGCAAGGGAAGGGGGTGGTACAGCAGCGGGAGAAAGCCTGTATACAAAAGATAACATCTTTTAAGATAACTATCAGATTTCAGTTTGCTTAAAACGATGACGCATTAAGCCAGTGTCTCTTACTAAATGCTAATATACTTTTACAGGTCAAAAGCCAAAACATTGGCATTCCTTCTGTTAAAGTGGAGGTCAAACAACATGACATCACTGAATATTCAAATGACACACAGGAGGTGGGGAAAGAACAATCCTTCGGATTAAAACAAAACAAACCAAAACAGTTATCTATAATGACTTAATGCAAGCCATAATGCTTACGTCTTGAGTTCAGTCAAATACAAACTACAGTGTTAAGGTTTTGGCTGAGTGCAGTAGCATGCCAGTCTCTCCTTCTTGTAATCCTGGGGTGGACCATTAAGAAGGTTGGGAGGTAGGGCTGTGCAAGGAACGTGTTGCTCGAAAATGACAGCTGCATACAGGCAGTGGGAAAATAATAGCCACTTCTTCCATGCTTCAGACTCCATTGGCTGTGCCAAGTATTTCAGAGTAAACAGGCACTCTCTCTCTATTCATAGAGAGCATGTATTAGGGAAAGAACACATTACAAATATCCAGTATGATTCAGTGGTACACAGAGTCAATTTATACCCGGTAGCGTAATTATACCTTTTTTCGGTGGTAGCAAAGCTTCGGGACCGTTCGCCGCCGGGCACCGGGTACCCCGCGCCACTCCCGGTCCACCAGCCTGCTGTCCTCCCCGCCCGGAGGAGGGACGAGGGGCGCGCGGGGAGCACAGGGGAAGGGAAATAGCGGATTCCCCCGGCCGCCCCTGGCAACCGCGCCGCTGCCCCCCTCGCCCCTTCTCGCCGAACCCGCCTCCCGCTTCGGAATAACGCGTTGCCGGAGGCGGCCGGGAGCGCTGGCAGCGGCGGTGACTTACATTTAAAACACATCGGCACGAAAAAGAAAAAACCGGGGGGAGGGGGTGTGCGCTGGGGGGGCGCAGCCGGAGGAATGCGGGAGTCAGGGGTCAGGGCCGCTCCGGGGCGGCGGCGGCGGCGCGGGGCGGGGCGGGCGGCGCGGCGCGGCGCGCAGGAATGCGCGGAATGTCGCTGTTTGTCCGCGGCCCCATTCAGCCCATTGGCGAGGCCGCGTCGCCGCCGCCTATAAAGGGGCGCCCGTCCCGGCAGTCGGCAGTCACACAGCCACTCTCTCGCCGCACTCGGACGGAGCGGAGGAGAGCGGAGCCCTGCAGCACTGAGCAGCCACCCGCCGGCACAGCGCCCGCCGCAGCCCCGTCCGCGCCGCCGAGGAGAACCGCCCCAAGGGAAGCTCCCGGCTCACCTCGGCTCACCTCTACCGGGCAGCCCGACGCCGCTGCCTGCCCGACGCCGCCGCCGCGCCGCCCACAAGCCGCCGACCGCTGCAGGATGGCCCACGCCACCCTCGCCCCCTTCGCCGCAGCCCTACTCCTCGCCCTCCTCAGCCCGGTAAGTTCTGCCGCCCGCGGCGCCGCCGCCCCTGCCCCGTCCGGGCAGTCCCGGCGACAGCCCTGACGTCTCCCTCTCCCTCTCTCCCCCGGCACTCGCAGGAGGCGCACGGCCAGGAGTGCAGCGGGCAGTGCCAGTGCGGCGCGGGGCCCGGCCCCACCTGCCCCGCCGGCGTCTCCCTGGTGCTCGACGGCTGCGGCTGCTGCCGCGTCTGCGCCAAGCAGCTGGGCGAGCTCTGCACCGAGCGCGACCCCTGCGACCACCACAAGGGGCTCTTCTGCGACTTCGGGTCCCCCGCCAACCGCAGGATCGGCGTCTGCACGGGTGAGTGGGGGCCGGGGCTGCCGCCTGCCACGGGAACGGGGACAGGGTCCCGCCGGGCAAGGGGACGAGGGAAGAGGGAATCCCTGAACCAACCGCCCGCCTCACACTCGGCCTCCTGCCCCTCGCAGCTCGGGACGGTGCCCCGTGCGTCTTCAGCGGCATGGTGTACCGGAGCGGAGAGTCCTTCCAGAGCAGCTGCAAGTACCAGTGCACCTGCCTGGACGGGGCGGTGGGCTGCGTGCCTCTCTGCAGCATGGACGTCCGCCTGCCCAGCCCCGACTGCCCCTACCCGCGCCGGGTGAAGCTTCCTGGAAAGTGCTGCGAGGAGTGGGTCTGCGATGAGACTAAAGAGCAGACTGCCGTGGGACCTGCTCTTGCTGGTGAGTGGAGATCTCTCTATGGATGGCAGCCAGGGGAAGGGGGCATGGAGGTTGAAGGCTGTGGGATGGGCTGACACAGGGCACCCCAGCAGCTGGATTATACAATAAGTGGAGTCACCTCACAGTGTGGCTGCCTGAATTTCTCAGGCATGAGAAATTTAACAGGGCATGAAGTGAGGCAGTGGTCTCATTTTGGCTTTCTGTCTCCTGCAGCTTATAGACTGGAAGACACTTATGGTCCAGATCCAACAATGATGCGTGCCAACTGCCTGGTGCAGACCACAGAATGGAGTGCTTGCTCCAAGACCTGTGGCATGGGCATCTCCACCAGGGTCACCAATGATAATGCCTTCTGCAGACTGGAGAAACAGAGTAGACTTTGCATGGTCAGACCTTGTGAAGCAGACCTGGAGGAGAACATCAAGGTAAATATGATTAGCTTTATGTATGACCTTCTAGGATGCTTCCATCCACTAGCAAAAGGCCAGTGACCAAAAGTGCAGTTCCGACAAGTAGTCAGTTTCAAGTGGTTTACCTTGAAATTTGAGTTTTACCCTAGTGGTGAACAGTTTACAGTTAAATATCCTTAATTTTCTGTCATGCTGTATATTATGGCACAGTGTACAATGCTCTTGCTTAATGATAATATACTAAGGATTAGTATGTATGCTCTCCTTTAACTTGCAAGTTTAAGTACTGCGTGAAATCCTACCTTCTAAACGTCTTGTATTCACTTACATCCTAACAGAAAGGCAAAAAGTGCATTCGCACCCCCAAAATCTCCAAGCCTGTGAAGTTCGAGCTGTCTGGCTGCACCAGCGTGAAGACCTACAGAGCCAAGTTCTGTGGTGTCTGCACTGACGGGCGCTGCTGCACACCCCACAGAACAGCCACCCTCTCTGTGGAGTTCAAGTGCCCTGATGGGGAGATCATGAAAAGGAAAATGATGTTCATCAAGACCTGCGCGTGCCACTACAACTGCCCTGGAGACAATGACATCTTTGAGTCTCTGTACTACAGGAAGATGTATGGAGACATGGCATAAAGCCAGAAGGAGACGCTGAGTAGATTCTCAACTTGAACTGATTTGCATCTCATTTTGTAAAACATGATTCAATAGCACAAGGTATTTAAATCAGTTTTTTTTTCAATTTCAACAAACTGCTCCATGTGACTTAAGACAATTTTTCTACTGACCCCAAACGGTGGTTTGAAGAAGAAGAAGGTAAAATGGACAGTGGGACCACAGCAAGACACAGCTTCAGAACACGTTGTTCTTGAGGTGGTGGGACGACGTTAAGGGAAATAGGCAGGAAAAGCAGATTCAAGCAAATGTTCCCTTAATGTGGTACAGCGTGGTTCATCTAGTAGTGCAATTGAGAAGCAGACCGTTGGCATGTTTGCTGGCACTGGTTTAGTGACAGCAACAGCTGGAATGCAAACACCCAGCCAAGTGATAAGTAGAAGGTGTTCTGTTAGTCAGGACAGTAATGTTTCAGCTCTGACACTCTGATTCGGATGGCTTGGTCAACAAGAATCAGAATCATGTCTATTAGACTGGACAGCTTGTGGCAGTTAATTTACCTGTAACAAGCTACTTTTTATTAATATTGTAAATACTGTGTGTATATATCTTTGTACAGTTATCTAAATTAATTTAAAGTTTTGTGCTTTTGTTTAATGCTTTGAAAGTTCACTGATAGCCTTCTTTTTTGGAACAAGATAGGTAAGATTTAAAGCTTGTTTGACAATGCATTCAAAGCATGAAATAGATACTCTAGTGGAAATTGCTCAGATAGGGCCAAATGGTGAGTTGAGGTCAAGATGAAGTTGAGGTGCCTGTAGTGTTACAAAGCATTCATCTGGCAAAATATGTTTACTCACACTTTATAGGACAAGTGGCTTTAAGAAAAATGGCTCTTCTGTAGCTCATCAGTCTTTCCGCTCGAGCATTTGTTTCTTTCTTTGACTATGGCTCTTTTTGGACAGTTTATTTGTTGAGAAGTGTGACCAAAAGTTACATGTTTGCACCTTTTTAGTTGAAAATAAAGTATTTATATTTTTATATAAATATATAAATGGCTTGGTATTTCATTTGCCTTTAGTCTTCACTATTCCTTTACATATTCCTAAAAGGGCTTGGCTTTGCACTAGATGAAAATCAAGTAAAGTGTGGTGGGTTCTTTGTCCAGAAGCACATACACTTAGGAATAAACTAATGATTTACAGTTACTTACTCTGTTACTAGTGAACCAACTCTAGTTTGTTACTCTTCTGAATGGAGGGTGGGACAGGCTTGCTTTGCCCAGTCTGATATGGCGTTAGAAAATGCAGCAGGTCTCTCATGCATCACGATGCTTTGAAGGGAGCCAGCTTGTCACCATGGTGATGGACTGCTGCTCTAATACACCATGACATGTGCTTGATTTCACTGAAGTGTTCCATTGGTTAAGATTTGTTTTCAAATAAGTTAAGGAAAGTATTTTTAGTTATCGAAAGCATTGAAGTGGCTCTTGACTCTAGAGTCTAATCCAGAAGTCTGAAATTTGGTACAATTCTCAGGGAAGAGCTAATGAGTTGTACATAAAAATCACAGAATAATACAGGTTTGAAGAGGCCTCTGAAAATCTTCCAATTTAACCTTCATGCAGAGTAGAGCTAATTTAGATGTAGTTTTACTTAAATTAACACCTAAGTATGGTATGGTAGACAGAGCACTGAACTCGAATCGCAATTACCTGGATTATCTTCCTACAAATAGTTTTACATGACAGTTCTGTGTAAAGTGTCCATTGATTCAAACTCTTCCAAGCCCACAGATGAGCAGCACTGTAAGAGCTACACATTTTGATAATGGTCCAAACATTCTTCTTAGATAAGCATTCCCCTAAAGCTGAAGAAAAGCTTCAGTCCTGTGCTAGGTCCTACATTAGTAACAGACTTTTTTGTCCCTTTATTAAGACAAGGAGATTCTTTGAATTCAAAATTAACCTTTGCACTAGAAGCATTAGTTCTTTTTTCAGAAAGAAACACATGCTCTCCAACAAGAATCCTTTTCAGGCAAACAAGTTCAATCTGGAATTTCCTGGTGCTGAAAGAGTGTTAGCTTAGAAAAATGTCCATCCTTCCTGAGCACCTTCCAATCCCATTGATTACAGCTAGCATTAGCAGCAAATCAGTGTAACACCAGCTTTGACTAATGATGGTCACAGAGCCCTAAACTAACGGCAAGTCAATGGGAGTCTTGCCAATGGCCTCACCAGGCTTTGCTCAAGGCCATAGAAGCATTTTCCCTTCCTCTGAAAAATACGAGGAATTCTTGTGGCATGAGGAAGTGGCTTTCTCTGTCCCATATGAAATAGTTCTGGGTAGCCTCTGGCTCTTAAACTCCCTGAGACTCTCCAGCATTTTTTATGTATTATTTTTTTTCAGGTTATGAATATGATGTAGCCATTCAGTTCACCCTGGAAACACTTCCAATAGTCATACGACACCAAGGACTGGTTGCCCGACTGCTACTGTGGCTCCACCCCCAAATAACAAGAAAACTGTCATTTCTAGTTCCAGCAAGGACAGGATGTATGTGGACTTCATTCATAGCCATCACTGTAGAAGCTCTCAGGATCACAAGAACAAAAAGAAGCACAATGCGCCTGGCAGTAAGAGATTGAGCGTTTGTGACACTGCTTAAGCCTGCGGAACAACTCTGCCCTGCAGTCTTTTACAGATTGGTAGCAGATATTATAATGAATGGCCTTTCCTTGTAACATCAGCCTCATGAGCCTCACAAC